AGAAGAATCTAGGACTGTCACAGATGGAAGTGATCAGATGTCACTTGTGCTGAATAAGAACAGGAAGATACTAACCTCACTGGAGCATATTGCTAGAGTTTATCTGTCACTTACAACTAATTAACTAAAATACAAATTAGCTGCCCTTATGGTCAGGCTCTTCTGCAAAATTTTTAGTATGACAAACATCCTAGGAAAAATTGAAGCTTTAAGCCTTACAAAGAATTGAAGTCAACAAGGAGCTTATATGTTTGGATACTTGTTGTTGCATCTGGACACAAAGACACTCCTTTAATTCACAGGTGAGAAAGGCAAATTATCTCCTTTCAGAATATCTCCAGATGCTATCACAGGATGATGGCACAGGCTTGTCCTGCTCAAGCTTCCCAGGGGAAGGTCTGCAGCACAGTGTGATATACTAATAGACTCTGAAGAATGGCCAACAAAGAGACAGTATGTTCTCCAAAGACTTTTGTTGCTCAGTAAAGCAGTTTCCAAATTGAGGTTTATCAGGGGAAACAGTCTCACAGGACCCAAATGAAGCATGGTTTTGGACCCTCTACAACTCTGCTCTTGTTCCTCCTTTGCCAAAAAGGCAAAGGCTTTTTTTGTTCACTGTGTGTTTAATGTGAATTTAATTTGTGCTGTTCTATAGAATGCATTTCATTTCCATTAAATGGCAAGATGACACACCATCCTACCGCTATTTCTGTAGTGTTTCTCAAAGTGTATTGAAAATTCATAGATTTGGAAATCATGATCTATGTATCTATTTAGCACAGTACAACTTTAAATCTCCCAAGAGAAAATTTGACAGTGAATTTTTATTACTATTCTGATATAAGTAAAGACTTTAAAGTGTGAAGCTTTACGGCACTATTTTTGATTAGTGTTAACTAAAATAGTTTTTAAAAACCCAAAACCAAACTGGCATTTTAACTAGAAAAAGAACTTTTTATATGAGCATGCTTTTCAAACAAACCAGTCCCAATTCTCTACAGTTTCTTTATGAACCAATAATATTTATTTAATATATTGCCTTCTTTACTATAATAGAGCTACTCTGACTTATAAATCCACCAGATTATCTGAAATCAACAGTGTATGGAAAATCCATCTCTGGACTAGATTTGGAATGCAAGTGCCATTACATCTGTAAAACTAAATGCAAAGTCTGATATAATGATTTATTATACATACATGACTTAGAAGTGAAGTGTCAGAAAGACACTGAATTTTATATTAAAAAGTATACAAAAAAATTGACAAAAATTGCACAAAAATGTGTACTATGTATTTCACAGAAAATCTTGTGCATGGATAAAAACAGCTCAGGGATTACTTAGCTTAAGACCAAAAATTCAGGGTTTAGAAGATCTTCTTTTATTACTTAAAACTAATTTCTTCTTTTGCTACTGTAAAACAGTGTTCAAGGGTTGGTTTTTTTTTTTTTTTTTTTCCAAAACCGGTCTTAAGGATCACTGTTCTGTGGACAGAACAAAGACAACATGATGTACAGAAACAGTGTCTGAGGCTAAACTTTAGCAGCTTTTTTAAACTATTGATATTTCACTTCAGCCCTGCACAAAGTCAAAAAGAAAGAAAGAATGAATCCTGCAAGAAGAAAATTAGTGAAAGCAGAACTTTGTAACAACTTTCAAATTATGCTAATTTCCTTACATATGCTTGCGTAGCCCTAGAATTCATCCTATATTTCTTGTGCCAAAATTTCAGATCGAGTTTTGGTGAAGATAGAGTTAGTAAATTTTGAGGAAGAAATTATTTAAGTATTTTTCCAAAGTCTGGTTAGAGCTTTGCAATTCAGCATAGAGAAGCTCAGCTAGCATGAAGTTAGTACCAGCATAGTGAAGCTTGGCAATATCAAGAAAATCATTCTAACTACAAGTGAAAATAAAAGACAGAATCTGGCCTACAGGAGAAAAAGAACAAAACAGAATAAAGAGACAATCTTGGATAACATTGTTCTTTTCCCATTAACCATTTCTTTTGGTGGTACCTGAATAGTAACGCATTGAATTGAATGAAATTCCCAGTTCCTTTTTTCCCCACGTTTTTATTTCCTTCTTCTCCCAGAGATTTTGTTACTAAATCTGAGGATTGTAGTTCCATTTAGCTTGAGTATTTTTGTTCTGTTGTATTATATCTCTTTTCTGTTTTTCTTTGCAGAAGATCTAACATAGCTGGATGAGATGCAATACAGGACATGCATCCTACAGAATAAAATGCAGTATTAGAAAACACTACAAATAAACAGAGACAACAGAACAATCAAATTCACTAAAAAATGATTTCAAATTCTTCATCAATTTCACAAAGATTTGATGTGTGAGAAGCACAAAAAACCACTCCCAACACTAATAGACACTCTTGATGTATATGGAATGCTTTGGTGTAACAGTGAATACATCCATGACTGTTTTAACAAAGCAGTACATAAAATATGTCATCTTTATCTTAATTTACAATTATCAGGAAGACAGGACATTAAAATGGGTTGATCAGGAAGAATATACCCTTCTTTTTTTTTTTTTAATCTTTTATTTAATTTCATTGTACACTCACTCATGTACACACACATACTTTGTGTGGTTCATACATTTACATAACTCTGAGAATCCTTGTATATGTGTATGATCTGATACATATATCATACACATACAATATTGAATTGTATAAAATAGTACAGTATAATCTGTATAAATGCAGGTGATGTTAAAAAGGATTGTCTGGCCTAATAATATATGCAGGACAGGAAGACACCTTGTTACCATTTAAGCCTTTCTCCTGTAAATATTTTCATTTAGGAAGTTTCTACATTTTTATAAACATAGTCACTCAGAATCTCAATGCAATTTTTTTAGTACATTCTTAGGGGTGAAAATTGTCTTTTTGGCTTAGTGACATAATAAATGCTTGCACTTCGTGCTAGGAAACTGTGGAGGACTAACTATCTTGAAGACTTCCTACATCTTCATTAATCACTGTTACAATATATGCAACATGAAAACTAACTTAATCAGTGAAAATTTGCCAAGAAGTCACAAAATCTCGGCGTGTATTTAAAACAGCCTTTAAAAAAGAAGATAAGCCTACTCACTGCTCTGCACAGCTCCCCTTTCTAAGTACACATCCATGAGGATGGGTATGACAGACGGCAGAGGATGAGAAAAGCAAGAGTATGCACTATGCCTACACTTACCATGGTATCCAAAGTATCAACAGAGCATTCTGAATGAAACACAAAAACTGTCATATTCTAAGCCATAATAATTATTCAGCAAGTGAAAGAAATACAGCACATTTTGGAGCCTCTCTATCTACACACAAGGAGCCCGCAGGGAAAGTGCTCAAAGCCCGGAGTATGGTGGCTGTCTATCCATCAATGCTGAGCACTACAATATTGTTATTTTGTTAGTAGTAATTCTAACTGTGTCTTATCTACCTAAAGGTTCCACAAACAAACCTCCCCCCCAGTTTAAATTCCCATTTATGGCATAACATTTTCTATATCAGGATCCGCATCTGCGCAAGGCGTGTTTCAGATCCTCGCACAATCTTGCCACCGAATTGCAGTTACACCCCTGGCTCTTCGCTGCCTTCCCTTGCTTCCGAGACGATAGTCACTTATTCTGTTTACATCGCAGTATCTATCCTTCGAAAGGACACGACCACGCACCTTTAGCGCAGTACAAAACCCGGTCCATGCCGCTCGGCATCGGCCCCGGGAAGGTTGAGCGGGACAGAGGTGGAGGAGGCAGGGGCCGAGCAGGGGGTGCGCAGGGGGCGCGGAGCGGGGACCGCAGCCGGGGCCGCCGCCTCTCGCCGCGGGGGCTGCGCGGCCCCGGCCCCGGCGCGGCCCGGGAGCGGTGCGCTCGCACGGAGCCACCGTGCCCCGCGCTCCGCTCCGCGGCCTCATCCGGGGAGCGGCAAGTTTGCGTGTCTGTCCCGCAGTTGTTTCACTCCGAAGGAGCGAGGCGTGGGTTTGGAGAAAGGAAAGCGGAGGGGTGGGGGCGTGATGGATCCCCGGCAAAAGCTCTCCCGGACTGCAGGATGAGCGCTGACAAGAGAGATTTGGCAAGTTCCTCTCCCCCTCGGGTTTCACTTTTTTTTTCCCTCCCCCTCCTATTTAAATTGTCTCATTGTTAGAGGATTACACGCGCTTCAGGTTACACCCGGAGAGGGCAGGGGGGAAGCAGCCTCTCCTTTCCCTCCCCACATAATATCTATATTGCCATTAACCTGTTCTTCATATTTGGGGCAAACCGTAGACGCGGGGTGGAAAACACGAACGCAACAGAGGGAAGGGATCCCAAGTGATGTCAGCCCCGAGGAACTTGGCTGTTGTGGCGGGGCTGTCTCAGGGAACCATCCCGCAGCTTCTGCCGAAGTTTCCCTTTCTGTGCCAGCGACCCAGGTGCGCGCTCAGCCCGGCCACGGGCGGGCACCGCGCAGGGACCCGCCGGCGGCTGCTCGGCTTCGGACAGAGGCCGGACCCGGGCCGGGACCCCGCTCCCTCGCTACCCCGGCGGCTGCGATACGGGGAGACCACAGGGAACCCAGGGGGAGGGATACACGGCCGTCCCCTGGCTCGCAGGACGATCCGGGCAGTCGCCCCCAGGCGTGCGGGACGCGCCGAGAGCCGCCCGAGCTCGGCGCCCGCTCGCGGCTCGCGGCTCGGCCCCTCCGACAAAAGCTGCGCCCCGCGCGCAGCCCGCGGCTCGCCGGCACCGGCAGACACCCGACACCGCCACGCGCTCATTGGCCAGCGCAGCCGGCCCCGCCCCCCTGACCGCGGCGACTCAGGGGGAGGCTCGGCCCGCCGGCCGCCGATAGCTGTTGCTGATTGGTCAGAAGGTGCTGTCAGTCACATTGAGGGACGGGCCGCCCCGCGGCCGAGGCCCCGCCCCCTTGCCCTCATTGATATTATCGGCGCGCGGCGCGGGCGGCCGGGCTGCAGTCGGGGCTGGCGGGCGGCCGGCCCGGTGCGGGAGCCGGGCAGCGGCGCGGAGGCGGAGGAGAAGGAGGCGAAAGAGAAAGGCAGCCTGGAGGGAGGGACCGCCGAGCCACAGACTAGCACAGCAAATTCTCCACCGTCCTCTAGCACCCACCAAGCGGCGGCAGTGGCAGTGTCTAGGAATAGAGAGCTAGAAATATAAAATCACCCCGCTCCTGCACCATGGCTTTCCAAAGTAGGCTCCCTTCTTGGATTATTTTGTGCTCCGTCTGGCTGTTCCGCTTTGCACACACGGGGGAGGCACAGGCTGCAAAAGAAGGTAAGGTGATGCGGAAAACAAAAAGTTTGAGCTTATTTATTGCTTTTCCCCGCGAAGTCTGTTTGGTGGCTTAGTAGGGGACCTTCCTGCCCCTGCCAGCTGCTTATCAGCCCCCCTCTCAGAAAAAAAAAAAAAAAAAAAAAAAAAAAAAAAAAAAAAAAAAAAAACTTTTTTGGTTGAGGTGGGAGGGAGGAAAAAGCACGGCATTCACTGGGGGCTGTGCATGTGTATGTATGAGGGACCGGGACAACTGCCTCTGCTCCCAGGAATGAGGTTTGCGAGGCATTCGCACGTGATGAGGAGGAATGGGGCTGGGAGAGCCCCCGGCCCGGGTATCCGTACCGGGAGCGTCGCTCTCCCGTGCCAGCCCGGATCCTCCCGAGGAGGTGTAGGCAGGGCGGGTTACCTCGCTGCTCCCTGGGCAGGGGCTGGGGGCCGAGTTTTAGGGCTCGGGACGCTTGGTGGGAGGCAAGGCGCAGCGCGGGGCTGGGGCTGCGGGGCGCTCCCCGCCGGGGGCCTGCAGCGCTCCGGCCCAGCGGGGCCGGGCACAGACCGCGGGAAGGAGCATCGGGGTGCAGTTCGGCACGTCCCAGCCGTGCAGGCTGGACATGTGTTTAGAGGATACATACGGCCCGGCGTCGTGTGCCTGCAGCGTGTGTGCTCTCCCCCGGCATCGCTGGAGAGAGGTTTAGGGTTTTTACACCATCTGCGTAGCACAACGGAGCTTCCCCCTTCTCGTCAGTCTAATACTGGTATCTGTGTAAGGCGCACCCCGCACATTTGTTTCCCCCGCGCACAAATCAGTCAGTTTTGTATCAGAGGCTGATGGAGGTGTTTAAAATCAATTCACAAAGCCCATCTGGGAATCTCTTTTTTCACGCTGAGAAAATCCGAAATGATTTAAAGGAGCGCCCTGCTCGCGCTTGACAGCCAAAGGCGAAGGTCCGTCTCCATCTTCGGGGGGGACGAAGACACACACGACATGACACGGGAAGGGGGAGGCAGGGCATTTTCGGTGCCTCTGCATATGTATGCGTTTGGGGTTCCCCCCCCGCCTCAGCTGGATGCGTCAGTATTTTTCATCAAACCTCTGGCATGCAATAAAATATCATTTGGAGCTCTAAAAAATGCCTCAATTAAAATGTGCTCTGCCCTTAAAAGACGAAGTCCATGGCGAGATTAGAGAGGGAAAGAAGAAGGAGCTTTCCCGTAGCAGCATTTCGAAAGTTTATTTGGAGGGGCTGTAAAGCACAGAAACCCTCCCGCGGGGAGCAGTAACCAGTAGCCGTGGGGTGGGGAGAGGAGAAGGGCCGGGCAGTCGGACGGGGAGGGTGCGGACTGCCTGCCCCGCTCTGCCCTACGGCTTGCTCCCTGATCGGAGCTACGCCGGTGCTTCCCACTGGTTTCTGTGTTATACGTGTGTGGGTGGTTATGTATGCATCTATACCTCTGAGTGTGCGTGTATAATGCCTGTATATTCGGGAAAAATCACCTAGCCAAAGGAGGGTCAGGAGGGGGCGAGCGGCAGACAGGGATTGATAGCGGCTACCTGCTGTAAGGGCAGAAAACTCTGGCGGAAGAAAGAGCGAGCTTAAAAAAAAACAAACCAAAACAACAACAACAAAAAAGTAACTTTACAGCTTCACCGCCGGCCCCGCCGAAGGGCCGGTGGCGGCAGCAGCCCCGCGTGGTTTCCTACCCCTCCCCGCTGGGTACGGAAAAGGGTTGGGAGGGGTAAAAGGCTAAAAAGTTTCCTGAGTTTCCTTTCTGTAGCTCAATAGAAGCCGCGGTGAGATGCTGGAGAGGAACGGGGCAGGGTCCGTCTGTCTCTCTAAGCGAGAAAGTGACCGCGTTACCTGCGGAGCCCTCTGCCAGCGGCAGGACCCTCGGGTCCAGCGCGGACACGAGGAGCGGGCTATCCATTCGCTCCGTGTCTGCGACAGCTCGGGGCTCCTGGGGGCCGCTGTCCCGGGCTCTTCCTCCCAAAACCGCGGCTGTCGGGGGTGTAGCGGGGGCGGCCACGGGACTGGTTCGCGGCTCGGCCGCCAAGCCCCGTTGTTCGGCGCGGGGGCGCGGCCGCCTGCGCGCAGCTCCGCGCAGCGCCCGGAGCGCCACTGCGGCTCCCCGCGGAGGCGAGAGGCCCCTGCTCCCCGCCTGCGCGGAGCCCCGCTGAGCCCATTTCCCGCGGCCGCGCCCCCGCGCTTCGCCCGCCGCCTCTCCGCCTCCTTTCGCTCTCCGCCGCGCCGCGGAGCGCGCTGCGCAGCTCCCCCGCGGAGCGACCGCGCTGGAGCCCCGGTGCGCTCCCGGCGCGGGAGGCTGCGGACCCCCTGCGGCTGCCGGCGGGGGGCGCGGGGCGCGGCGCCGTCCCCCGCATCACTTCCCCGCGTTGCTGAACGAGCCGTGACAGCCACGGGTCTCCCCGCGCAGGGAGCAGGGCAGCAGCCGCTGGCTTGGAAAGCTCTTCCCCGGTAACTTTGGATGCCAGAAGGAACGCCAGGATTTCTTTACAAGGGGTGTTTGCAGAGCAGGGGTTTCTGTGTTGGGTTTTTTTTTTTTTGTTTGTTTCTTTGTGGGTTTTCTTTTTGTTTGTTTTGTTTGCTTGTTATCTTTTCTTTCTCTGATGTGCTCACCCGTTGCTACGTGATGGAGAATTACTGCCAAATAAAAAGTATAATGAATTGCAGCCGTAGTGTGCTGGTGCTGAAACGGTTAAATTTTTGGTGGTACCTTTTTTTTTCCAGGACCATTATAAATGTTGTTGTTTAACAAGCCGCCACATACACCACCTTTTCTATAGAAAATGTTACAAAGTAAAGCCCCTTGAATCCAACCTTAATGACATAAGCAGGTAATCTTTCTGGAGGGAGACTATCAAACTTCCTTAATGAGTAGTTCCACTTCATTACTGAAATACAGGCCTGGAAGCTACCGTTTTGTGTTCAGCTAACATTCCATGTATTACGGTATGATTTTTTAGGCATCTTTTTAGTAATTCATTGAAATTTTGTGTTAAATTCTCCTTGGAGAAAGGGCCAAAGCTAGAATTAAAACTGTTTTGTTAGACCTGCAAAAGTTGCTTCAAGTTACAGCCTTAAGTCACACATCTAAATATCTTAGACAGTACAGAAATGCTGTGTATGAGGTTATAAATAACCTTATAGCTAAAGGTATATGGAATAGGTTCAAATTAGGAGTGCTACTAAAGAGCTGGTTTATTAGGCTGTGATTAACCACTTTTGGAGGTAGGGTTACATTTAGCTGAAAATAATTGTGGTGCTGCTAGAACTGATGTCCTTCTGTATATAAATGTCACCATGATGTGAAGATTTTAGGAAGATATTACCATAAAGTGAATTAGTCTGATTTTGTGTAAGCGAGGTAATTGCAGAGTCTTTTATTTTCTGTACTCCTGGTTGTCATGATATTTGCAGAATTATTCCTTTTCCTTATGAAATAAAAATACTCGTGAAAATATTTTTCACTTTGACACTCAGAAAATATCATTGCTTTTTCAAAGTGACTCTCGGGGAGGTATAGACCAGTCCTGTAAAAATCAGTTTGGAAATGTGTTGAAATGCCTGTGTGCTTTAAGCTGATTGTAATGACCAGCGTATGGAAAATGTCCTTATGAAAAAGGAGAGGGAGGGAGTATGCATCTTAATGACTGATTAACAGCACTTCAGAGCACTAAAAATCCCTCACTTTATTTTAAGCAATGAAATTGTAAAGATATATGTAGTTTTGCTCACATATAAGCAGATATGTGTATCTGCTTATATGTAAATGGTACATAATAATTTGTTGGTTTACAAATAAATAGTTGTGGTTGCAGATATTTTTTTTAACAATATGAAGAAATATCAATCTGTACAAAAGTTATGTTAATTCTATCACTTTTGAAAATTTATATTTTGTTCCTTAGTTTTAAATCCCCCCTTGTTATGTTTAACAAGTTGTGGAATTTCTTTTTTTTTTTTTTCCTTTTTTTAGTAATACTGCTGGACTCTAAAGCACAACAGACAGAGTTGGAATGGATTTCCTCTCCTCCCAATGGGGTAAGTACTGCAGGCAAAACTTAAGTTCCTAAAGATGAGTAGTCAGTTTATTGAAGCAGTTGAAAGACCTGCTTTAAACTAGTTCCCCCTCATATTTCTCTCAGTAATCATACCAAGTGTTAATGGCTTCTTCATTTTTAGAATGAAACCTCAGGTTACAGTGTACAAATGTACAAGCCAATTAAAAGCAAGTGGCTCCTTGGAAACTTTTGTTACTTTTGTGCTTTGTAATGTATTTCTTTGTGCTGTACAAAGGATTACACTGTATATTTATAACACAGTATTTTAAATCACTTTTTTTCTTCCCTTAGAAACAACAGATCTGCTTCTGTGTGGAAACTTTCTAAAAATATGTTTTTCATTTTCTGTAGAATGGGTGATCATAAATTTGTTTACGATGTTTTCTTTGTAATTGAATAGCACAGATTGAAGTGCTCTAAAATAAAAACATTTATACTGCAGATGTGTTTGAAATGACATTCCAAACTTGAAACATCCCCAAGCCTTGAGGAGCTTGATATCTGGAACTAGGCACGAATTATGTGGTTAAGGCCACCTCCAGCTTGCGTACAAATTAATCTTATGGCATTCTATGAAATGTACCATTGTAAATTACACCATTATAAAAATGAGATGTTTAGAAACATCAGTGTTATTGTCTTATTTATTATATATGTAAAGTTGGGAAATGCTGCTTTCAGTCTGAATTAAAAGTGTTATAAAACCTCTTCTTCCTCAAGCCTTGAGGAAGAACATTTTCAGAAAAATATAATGGATATATTGTCTTATCTTAACTCAGTCCTACATGAGCTTCTTCTGACAAATCATAAATTACATGGACAGTTCTTGCTCATGGAAACAGCCTTGCTGAATCTATTGTGACACCTTGCACGAACAAGAACTTGGGGGATCAGTCCCTTAATCTTCAGTTCATTAAGAAATCTGGAGCCAGAAGAGCGTGAAGTGTGAGTAGGGATATAAAAGTGTAACAAATCCTTTAAATAAGAAGAATGAAAATGTGGAAGTGTCTTTCTTTAAAAGCAAGATTGTAGTATCAATACAAGCATAAACTGGAAACTAATCTAAGGATTTGAGAGGGAATGTAATGTGGGCTCAATGTGTATGATGGCCAATAACCTCAGCATTAGCGTTTTGCCCTGATTGAAGCCTTTACCAGGGGTGTTTGGAAGATTAGCTTGGTGACACTTATATTAAGCTAACCTGTAGATAATGAAAGACCTGTCAACACATGTTACACATCATCATACTGAAAGATGAAAGTAGAGTCCAATTCAACAAACAGTGACAAGAGAGTTTCAGAGGTAGAAGTGAATTTCAATCACAAATTAAAAGTGAATCAATACTAATGGCTAGATTTGCATGTGTGAAAGTGTTCAGGAAAAGTTGTCTGCAAATTAGCATGAAAGTACCATTTTAATAATGTAATTTTGAAAATAAATGTTTTTCTAATTTTAATTACTGAATTATTTACTATGCAATAAAGGCTTCATGGGAATGAACACAGAAAATTTTGAGAGAAACTACTGCATAATCACAGTAGAGAATATATCAGTCAGACACTCGTTAAATGCCTCATTCAACTGCAAATGCTACATTTAATGCTGTTAAGATAACTAAGAAGTTAAAATACCATAAATTGAAACCAATAGAACAGGGCATATTCAAACAGATTTGCATGTATAGCACCATATTTTGCAGCAGGACAAAAAAAAGTGGAGTCTTCTTTCTGTGAAATTGTTCACTATAAGAAAACTTAAATGAATGGTGGTAACCTCACCTGCCATAGGTGAAAATATCTTGAAGTACTGATTTTTTTTTTTTTCGTTGCAGACACTGTGATAACATAATTGCATCATAAATCACATTTCCCTAATTTTATTGCTTTGGCAAAATATGGAAAAATAGTTCCAGTGCTTAATGCTAGGGATCAAAAAAAGTAGTGCTTCTTGTGTGAATTGTATTATTTTCCTTGATTGTACATAAGAATCTCTTTGATGCTAGCTAGTCTTGTGTAGTAGGATTTTGACTCTGAGAAAACTCATTTGTGTTGTATTGTGAAGAGTAGGTTGATTTTGTAAAATGTATTTTGTTTGTTGCTTTTTTTTTGTTTCTTTCAGTTTGTGGGTTTTTTTGAGGAGGAATGGTGATTTGTTGTGGTGGAGCAATCCACATCAAAACTCAAGGAGACAGATTCTGTTGTGGGTGCACGAGAGTTACTTTCATGTCAAAGATGGAATACATTGTCTTACTGGATATCTTCTTCCAGAATCTGTCTTGGTGTCTTAAGGGAAGAATGCTTACACAAGATAAAATATAAAACAAACAAAAAAAACCCCTCAAACCATCTCAAAGAAACCCCAAAGGACATAGCATTACCTGGCGAAATTTTAGGCTTTATGCCTTTTTTATAATTTTGATGGGATTTTTTTTTAATGTGGAGATGTTTTTTATTATCATAGTATAGCCAAAACCCTCTCACTCCAGGGCCCCTTTTTTTCTTTTTCTTGTTTTTTCTAGCTCTTATAGAGGTGAAAAAAATTACTCATTCAGCTCTAATAAATCTTTATGAAGATAGACATTCTTTTGTTCAGAGGTTAATACTCTTCCATATGCAATCACTTCTGCTAACTCCATGAGCATTTAATAATCTATTTCAATAATTTAATACCATATGCATATAATATATAATACTGTATATATCTTGTCTGTATTAACTGTAGGTCCTTGAAAGGCGCTTTGATATTTACAACTTCTGTGCATTTCAGCATCTGGAGCTGTGATGTATTTTGTGGTGATAACTTCCAGCATCAATTCAGCCACATCTGTTTTTTCCTGAAACAGACAACAACATTGAAATGGTCTCATTTGCTGTCAAGTAGGCTTGCAGAGTCATGTACACTGTGTGGCTCCTGATCTGGGAAGCCAATGCCTTCCATGCTTGGTTGCCGGCATGAGGAATGTCAGTGGATGCTCTATCCTGCAGAGGTGCCGACTATACGAGTCCCACAAAGCACTTAAGCATGTGCTTACCATTAAGCTCATAAGTACAGTCACTGATCTTAAGCATGAGCTTAAGTGCATTATTGACACAGGGCCAGAGGGCTGAGTGCCATCCAGAGAAGTATTGGTTGCCTGTATCCTGGGGTGACGATAGCTCACCCCGCTCCTCTAATTTACTACAGCTGCAGTTTCTGCAGGCACTGAAATGTTACAAGAAATGTGAAAAAAGGTGAGAGACGAGGAATGTTTTGGTTACACCTGGGCAGATCTGCCTGGTTCAATTCACTGGAAGGTTTGCCATTGCTGGAGGTGCAAATTCCCACGCTACCAAAGGCTGTTAAAGACTGTGGGATTGTTAAAGGCTTACCAGCTCGTTACACAGTTGGTAGCCTAAAGAGAGAGCATCGACAAACTCAGGCTTTGAACCAGAGAGCTTTCAGTCATACAGGTTGTTTTTAATTCTGTATGTAGTCTCATGGTTCATTTGAACTCCCAGCTAAATAAAGTTTGCCTTTTCTAATAGGGGTGCAGCCGCTGGACAAAAGGTGAGGTGAGGAGGAGCTCCTACTTATCTTTTCAGTTTGTAAATAAAACAGAAGGCACACTGAAAGAAAGGGAGGCAACTCAAGTGTTTCCTTTCTTTCAGATTTTTAATTCTGTCAATTTTCTCTTGCCCTCTCTCTATGCCATTTTGATTACATAGGGGTGGGAATCATCTGACTCATGAGTTTCAGGACCTGATCCCATGCTTTCTATACAACTGCAAGTTTCATTGTAAGCTTTATATGCACAAGTTTTATGTACTCTAATGCTAAGCAATTTCAGTTTCTAAGACTTCACTGACATTAGGTTTCTTTGAAGAGAAGCTACCTTCCTCCTTTTGGTCTTTGCTCACTCCATTGTGACATTAAAAATACGTGTGAGCTCAGGGTGAAATCAGAACCTGGTATGCTACACAGCCTTTTCTGAAGCTGTCCCTTTTCAACTGTGCCCGTGAAATGACAAAGATTTTTAGAAGTTGGATGTGGGAAAAACATGAAGGGAGAGAGAGAGCCTACTCCTGCATTAATATATATTTTATTAATTTAGATACTTAACAGTATTTTTAATAACTTACTGTTAAAAAGAAGGAAAATGTGAGTTGTGTGAAGCTTTTTTAAATACTCAGTAGTTACAACTGGTGACATACTTCTTGTTTATTACTAACTGTTTGTTATCATTTTAGTGGGAAGAAATTAGTGGACTGGATGAAAACTACACTCCTATACGAACATACCAGGTATGCCAGGTGATGGAATCAAACCAAAACAACTGGCTTCGGACTAACTGGATTGCAAAAAGCAATGCACAAAGGATTTTTGTAGAACTGAAATTCACTCTGAGGGATTGTAACAGTCTTCCTGGAGTTCTGGGGACTTGTAAAGAAACTTTTAACTTGTATTATTATGAAACAGACTACGACACTGGCAGGAATATCCGAGAAAACCAATATGTAAAAATAGACACTATTGCAGCAGATGAAAGTTTTACCCAGGGTGATCTTGGGGAGAGAAAAATGAAACTTAACACAGAGGTGAGAGAAATTGGACCTTTGTCCAAAAAAGGATTCTATCTTGCGTTTCAGGACGTAGGGGCCTGCATTGCTTTGGTCTCTGTCAAAGTCTACTACAAGAAGTGCTGGTCCATCATTGAGAACTTAGCTATTTTTCCTGACACAGTGACTGGCTCAGAGTTTTCCTCTTTAGTTGAAGTTCGAGGAACTTGTGTCAGCAGCGCGGAGGAGGAGGCGGAGAACGCGCCGAAGATGCACTGTAGCGCGGAGGGAGAATGGTTAGTGCCTATTGGAAAATGTATCTGCAAAGCAGGATACCAGCAGAAAGGAGACACCTGTGAACGTAAGTAAACACAGTTTGCTGTAAATTGTAGGTCATGTTCTACCAGATTTTTCTGGTTTTTTTTTTCCTGCTTTTTTTTAAGATAAATGCATAATCAGTCTGCTTTTAAAGTTTTCAGATCCCCAGTCTGTGAAGTTCACACTGGTTAATCTAACGCAGTCAGTCTGTCTGATTATGAAAATCAGTGGTTGCACAATGCAGTTTTAAATTTAAAGAAAAACATTGAAGTTGTAAGTATAAAGATAGGTTCAGGACTAAAATTATGAACTGATTAATGTGTTTCTTGTACCCTTTGGTAAGGCTGAGTAAATCATACCTATCACAGAACATTGTAGCAATAATGTCAGGTATGAGTAGGTAAACAGTTTGTTCTTCCACATGATCCCTGACATAATTATAAGGAAGTTAAAATGCATGTAACAAATAAAATGGGTTTGGCTAGTAATGGGAAGAATACACACAAAATCAAAACCGAGTTAGGAGTTTGTGTCAAGTGTGTGAAAACTAAATGCAAGACATATATTTCAATTGGACTATCAAATTTTCAGAATAAAGTATGATAGCCTTTCTATAATATTTTTTTACACAAAACTAACTCTAAATTTTTCGCTTGCAGTTGAATCACTGTGATTATTTTAAAATACTAGCAGATCAGAGACTACTGAGTTGTACTTCCTGATTCAAGACTAATTCAGTTAACCATGTTCTTAGAATTATACTTGACCTTAGCCTTGCTGTTACTGGGGCTACAGGCATAAGACATTTCTGCATAGTATGAGAAGGAATATTTTATTTTCTTTGCTTCCAGTAAGAACAAGAGAATCTGGAGTTTGTTTGGAGACCTGTATTTTCATGTACATTTAATACAAGGTCTGTAATTTTTATGATAAGGTAGCACAAGGAGTTCTACATCACCATATGTTTATTGCAAGATAGGCAGACATTTATTGGTGAGAAATATTTTAAGTGAAAAAGTGGAAAAAGTCCCACAAATCTATGAAGAGGAGAAATTTACATAATCTCAAAAACCAAGCTGGCAGCACTCACTGAAGTTCCTCAGTCTGATGAGGACTTCAAAAATGGTAGAGGATTTGGGACATCCCAAAAAAAAGTAAATTAGTCTCTTTATTAATAGTTTGTCCACATGAAAAAAACCACACTTCTGCTTTGACGAGTTTCTATGAGGAAATTCAGTAGAAGATGGAGTGGAGTTGGTCTGAGGTCTTTGTAGCTCCACACAAATCTTTCATTGTTCTGTTGGGAAAGGATGAAGTCTTAAACTCTGCAGAGGGTGATCTCATTAGGAGTAATTGTAATGTGAAAAACTGCCCTGGCAAAACTGTTCAGTAGACTGTATTAGAGGTCTGTTAAAAATATTAAGTGCTGTGTCCCATAGAAGTCTGTGTTGAGGTTTTAGATTTTTTTTCTGAGCAACTGATTTGTTTTTTCCTTTTTTTACTTAACTTGCTCTTGATTACAGACCTAGTTATCACTGATGTAATTAATATATTTATTTTATTTGACTTTCAATAAGGGAGAGAAAATATCCAAAAAAAACCCCAGTGTATGTTAGGAAGGGGGTGGGGGACATGAGCTGTATGAGCATGGCAGGGATGGATAGAGAAGAATTGATGTTTGGTGACTGGAATTCAAGTAACCTGTTTATTGAACAGGCTTCTTAATTTCTAACTGTGCTGATGTTGACAAAAGAATTAAATGATAACTTGTACTTGAGCCTGGTGGCGTGCTCATTTGCAAGAACATTTCCCATTTTTGGCTTGCTTCCAAAGCAATCGCTAGGAGAACACGGTACTCTGGAAGCAGTCCAGAGGATCATTTATGGTATTTTTCCTCTTTTCTTTCAGTGATCCTGTTAAGAGTTTCAAAACAAACTCTGGCCCCATATTGAGGCAAGCTAATGTGTTTGAGAGGGAAAAGGCGGTGGGCAGGCACTCGTCGAGTGCGCGCCGAGTCAGCAGCTCCAAGTCAGAACGATCTGGGTGACGGTGGCACACGCTTGTAATTGCTGTCTTCATGTCCTGTCTGGGCTCGAGGATGTTATTAAGTATGATCAACTATGTAGTGACCGATAATGCAGCTGGCACACTGATACTGCGTCTGTTTTTTGTGACAGATATTGAGAGAAACTTATCTGTACATTGACACTAATGCAGCTGGCTATCTGTTACTGTCAAGCTGTGTAACAGATCAAGTGGAAGCAAGTTGGTGTGTGCTTTCTTAACCCAGAGCTTTTGTAGCCCTGTCTGAGGGCTCACTTCTGCAAATACTTTGTACCTGGCATGCTGTGTGACTTCTTTGGGACTACTCAGGGCAGAAAGTATTGTGCTCTGTCAAGATGGGCAGACGTCTGTGATTCTTCTCTCACACTTGCTAAAGCTCTGCTGAATTAGCACAGTAGGATTGTCTTTTAAAGATACAGAATAATACCTTATCTGGCTGTTTTGCAGCAAAGGTAGGAGTAGATGACCACATTGTAGTTCCAAATGTTTCTTCAGCCTATAACTCAGCAGGGATTTTCATTTATGTTACACTAGCTTGATTGGCTATCTGTGATTGAATAATGTGTTTCTTTTGCATACATCTCCTCTCCTGTTTGTATAATTTATTGAGTTCAGATACTGAAACGATTGAATTTTGATTTATTTATAAAAAATGCACTGTATGCATTTATTTATTTATTTTTAAATGAATGTAACATGTAGTGCTGGGAAGGATAAGGAAGAAAACAATCATGAGTGGTGAAACACATAACCTGGAAAATAAGGTCACCTGTGTTCCCTCTTAATTGCTTGATCTTTCAAACTGAGTTAATTTTTTTTTTCCTTTTGGATGTACACTGATTACTTCTCACTATACGAGTGCCAAAGAATACTTGAGACCTCAGTGTAAAACATATGTAGGAGACCCAAATTTCAGAGAGCTCACAAATGCAATTTAAAGCAAAATCTCAAAGCTGTGTGAAACAAACATAAGGAAACTAGGTGAGCCTCTGAACTTTCAGTTCCAGATTGTTTTGCTTATATACAGGGAGACTCTTTCCTTAGTGTTGATCTTAGGTCTGATAGTTTGTAGAACTAGATTTAGGTGTGGAAATTGTACATTTCAAAGGATTATCTTGAAGGGTACGTAGCAGCAGTACCAGAAAGGTACCTGGACATATTCAGTTCTTCTAACACTATGTATTGCGTCTGGTTTGGAAAAAAATCCCCATCCAACCAACCAAAAAACCCCCAACCACAAAAACCCAATGGACTTCTTGGTAACTATAGTGGACTCCCATTAGGTCTGACTTGGACTTTTCTCACAGTGGAGTTCATTTGATATATTATGCATGTGAAGGAATACATTGTGATCAGTGATTGATATTTGAAGGTGAAAATAATTCTATGAGAGCTTCTACTATAATGTATTTTCCATCTGTTTTATGTTAGTTGGGGGTGGAGAGGGAGAGAATTAAATTTATTCAATCAGAGCAGTAGAGTGATATTTCAGAAGGTATGAAGCTTCTCTTAATGCTACTGAACTGAGAAATTACATAGATCACTGGGCACCAAGTCCAAAAAATCAAATTCCTAGGGAAAGCCAAATGGGTGCATTTTACTGTTAAATGAATTATAATACTGTATGCATTAACAGTTGTTTTATTGGCCTCCAAATGAGGAGGGGATTATAGCTATTTGCATATTTTGCCTTGGTGAGGTAAAAAGGGGGCTACAGGGTTTTCTTTCCAAACTTTGTCAAGTGCTATACACTGTGCCAAAGAGAAAACTGCATCTGTTCCTACTCTTTTTTCTTCTTGGGACAAACATTTTCTCTCTTCACTTTGTGAGATATTACTTGATAACAGATCCGGAAACTGAATTTGCTTTATGTGCAGCATATTTGTGGTAAAATATGTGTGGTTGTGGGATTTTTTGTTTGTTTTTTTTTTTCTTCTTCTTCTTTCTTGTGTGTTTTCTTTTTTAATGTTACTCCCTTTAGGAGCTTATGTGCCACACATTTATTAATAGAGGGCAATGAATTAAGATGGGAACGTGAATAAGTTGTAATTAAAACAAATATTGCTATGCTTCCCAAAAGCCCAGGTTGCACATATTGTGAATTGGGCATAGAGTTCAGCTCTGGGAGTGTGTCACAGAAGATGTGGTGACCTGCAACTTAAGTAACCTCTGCTGACATTCCCACATTTTCAACTTGAAAATTTTTTGCTTTGTGAAGATGGGGAAAATGGTAGGAAACTTTTCAATGGCATTTATGTCATCAGGACTTTAAATGTTTCCTCTTTTGAAGAAGAGTTACCTTTCTTCCATTTGCTTCCAAAATTACTCTAGGGAAGAGAATGTAATTAGTTTCAGCTAATTGAACCTGAGCAGAGAATGAGGGTATCTCTGTGTCACTGAGTCTTGTCATTTTCTCAGAAGCCTGTAGAAGTTCAACAGCAGAGTGTCTATCTCCTTCTCTTTTTATTCCCTAACATATTAAATAACTTTTCTGTTCCTTTTTAAAGAAAGGCCAGTGGGATCTGATATCAGGCACCACATACAGCTGAATATTAACTATTTGATTAAAAAAAAAAAAGTTTAAAAGGTAGGTATCTTTGCAAAGGATCCTAGCAGGGTTCAGGAAAATAAACTAGATATTTTCAAGTGAAAGTAAGACCTTTTCGCTAGAGGGTCAAGAATTACTGAAGGTGTTTCTAGCATGAAATAGAGAGCTTTAATTTCTGCCTCAAGCTACCTTTGGAATTTGTAGAAAGCTGAATGTTTTGGCTGTCATTCACCCTGTAGTCTTCTGACTTCCCTTCTTGTCAGGGAGGTGTAGTACAAAGATATATTTGCTTGCTGTATCTTCCTTTCAAAACAGTCTAGTGTTCATGAAGAAGATGATTTTTACAAATTTATTTGTCTCTCTAAGTAATTTGGATTTCTTTGACCTACTTTGTTCATGTTCTTCAGTTTTCTGGATGTGAAAGCACAGGG